GTACTGAAGCAAATAGGAAGTACTATCAGGGCTTGCATGAGTCTAGTATTGAATTATATACATTTACTGTTTACTAATGGAACTTAAAAACAAAAGATACTTATATAACTAAAAAAAATATTGGGGATCCTTTGTGAAATTTTGCATTTAAATTTTAATTCTGATATGATATAAATGGCTGTGTAATATTATGTAGATGCAGTAGAAGCCACAGCATTTTTCCCCTGATATGTCGACCAGTAGAATACTCATAATCCACCTCTTAAGTAACAATGCAGCCTAAGATATACAAATGATGGAATTAAAATCCTCATTAATTTCTACATTTGTTTTGCCAAGTATTAAAGTTTTTCATTAATATAGAAGAGGTGGGCAGAACACTGACTTTTGTGAGCATTAGGAACTCTATGTATCTCATCTAAATGGGAAGGTTAGGTTTGATGAGGTTAGATTATAGTCCATCAAGTTAGTGTTAAGGTTTTTGATCATCATCTGTAATAATTTTGGGGGGAAGTTTAAAATCTTCATAAAATCTGGAGCATTTTTCAAAGTTGGATTCTTAAAAACAGTGGATGAATTTGACATGGTCGATATCCTGATTATTTTACACGAGAGGTTTGGTGTTTTAAATAATATCACCTGTAGTTAGTTTACTCAGTGGAATGTACATAAGCAAATAATGTCCTTAAACACTGTATAAACTTCATATATATATTCTGTAGACTCTCAACTAACTGTCCACAACTATGAAATATGGAAAGTCTCTTATGAAATCTGAGTAACTGCAAAAACACGGCCAACTGAATTAACAAGTATCCGTCGTGGTATTTTATGGTATAGTATCTGTCGAACTGGAACACACTTGATGCCTAACACCCACACGACACACTCTAGACAACATGGACAGAACTAACAGCCATTTAGCGGAGATTTACGATCCCGGCTTGGTCGTACTGTACAGGGAGTTGCTGTGCTTAATATCACACCAGTGTAAGAGTGTAGCTTAATTTACTTACAACCCAACATACAGTAGACCCTTGACATTTGCGGGTTTGTGATTCGCGATTACGACAATTCGCTGTAAGCAGACGGTGGCTATGGTGACGAGCTTGCGAGTCTTTTCCCACAGCACAATGAGTCACCCCCACGCAGAATCTCGTGTTGTACTCTCAAATCTTTAGTGTTTCTGTGTGAAAATGGCCCCTAAAAGACTGCCTAGTGTCAGTGCTAGTGATGCTAGTGGAGTGAAATGTAAAAGGCAGAAGTCAGTGATGACCCTGACAAAGAAAGTTTTATTAAAGGATAAGTTAAAAGAGGGACGAGCGCTGTCACGGCTGGTCGGTGTAGGTATACAGTAGTGCACTAAGGTTGTATAAGTTGCTATTCGTGGTTTAGCCTATTCACGTCATCACTTGGAGCCTGTCCCCCGTGAATAACAAGGGTTTACTGTATAGGTGTATGTTATTATTGCTTATATTTATTTCTGTACATTATTAGCCAAATAAAATACCGTATAAAAAATGGCGTCCCCATAAAAAAGGGATTAATCCACTGGCAACTGTCAGAATCCACTGTACAAGTCTGACACACTCCCACCACATCTTCTTCCCCAACACATTCCAACTCTTACCACCAAACTTTTCCTCCTGCACTGCACAATATCACACATCTGAAAATAAGACTAATTTCTCCTCTTCTTGACCTCATAATCCAAATGAGTAAAAAATATGTCTCAAAAATGTCATGTCACCAGACAGGGCCATATTATGATCTGATATTTCAGTGACCTTGAACTTTGACCTGAAAATCAATAGACACCTTCCTTGACCATGGAGAAATTAATATACACCTGTTGAATAAAATCCCACTTTGAGACTTAAAAAATATCTGGCATCTCCTTGTGACTCATACATGTGGTAGGCTTAAGGCTGGTGAATGTTATTTTTTACTGTATATGCAGTCATATCTCCATTAGCCGGAACAATTGGTGCACACCATTTCCGGGTAATGACATGATTCTCTCAAAGCCGGAAAAAATCCTCCATCCCCGGAATTTTCCAGGTACAGTGTACTGGGAAAATCTTCTCGTAATTTTCCAGAAAATGTTCCCCTCGAAAAATCGTTCCAAAGCTGTGGAATTTTCTGGAAAATTCCGGCACTGGGAACAATTTTCCTAAAAAAAATTCAATTCCGGCTATCGGAGAGTTCCCGGTTTGGGGGATTCCGGCTAACGGAGATATTACTGTCAGAATCACAACTCAATTCACGAAAATTCACACAAAAAATCTCAGTAATCTTGTGACGGCACTAGTCCACCCCCCATACCTCCATCACCCTCAAGCAGACACCAGAGATTTTACCACGACAATGTTTGGTCAGTATCCAGCCTCCAGCAACCATGACGAAAATTAAAAGTACTGTATGATGCACGGACGAGGCAGACACTACACTACGCAGCTCCTGATACTAACCTTACTTGTTGTGGTAACGTAAGCATTTTCAGTAAACCTTTCCAGCGAAACAATGAAATTTTTTAAAGTTGGGTTCACAAGATCTTAAACTCATCTCTAATTCTCCCATTAAACTTTCCCCAAACACAGTACAGTACCAGTAGCAATTATACAGGTATTTGCAGTTGTTGAATATTCTACCAAAATATTGTTAAAAATAATTCACACGATTGACAACTACTAGATGAAGATACAATTGAGAAAAATCAACAGCTTAAGTCAGGGAAAAGCAAACAATTGATGATTATTTAAACAACTTGAATACCCCCCCCCCACAAAAAAAAATCTAAAATTAAATTAAAAACACCTGAATCTGTTTACCCGATTAATCATTTGTTATGTCAGTACGATGATGAAGCTCTAGGCCCTAAGGTACACCTCATCCATCTCCTGCATCTGTCAGTCATACACCATCATACCTCCATTGCGGAAACTAGACATCAACAAAGTTTCTCGCACACCTGAATACCTAATGAAGGTCTGTACTGTGTCTAATGTTCAAAGTGATAATCATTTCTATAACTGTAAATTTCTTTTTAGTGTTAAGTACTATGTCATTATAGATGTTTCTTAACTGACTAACTAACATAAAGATCAATTCAATTAAATTATCTTGATGGCTGTACATGGTTGAACTGCCTTACTGTTTATCAGTGTATACCTACCCTGTCTAGGTACATTGTTTGTATACCTACACTGTCTAGGTACATTGTTTGTATACCTGCATTGTCTAGGTACATTGTATACTTACACTGTCTAGGTATATTGCTTGTCCTGTATATCTGCAGTCTAGGTACATTGTTTGTATTCCTGCACTGTCTAGGTACATTGTTTGTATACCTGCATTGTCTAGGTACATTGTATACTTACACTGTCTAGGTATATTTCTTGTACTGTATACCTGCACTGTCAAGGTAAATTATTTGTATACCTGCATGGGTCTAGGTACAGCCATTCAAAAAAACTATCTTTACAAAATTGTGTTGGACAATATGACACAAAAGACAAAGGGTTTTGAAAACCCCACTGAGACAACAGGAGTTGCAGCGTCCATTCTGATTTTCATCACCCCCCCCCAAGTAAAGATAGTTTTTCGAGCAACTTTACACTGTATACCTGCACTATCTATACAACTACAAGCTGAATCAACATAATCTTGTCTGTAAATAAGTTGACGCTTCATACAAATGTTTAATAGATAAGAGAATCAGTCTTATTCAACAGATCTGGACTGTAGTTTTTATGTTGAATAAAACCTGAACATCTGAAAACATAAGAGAAACTTTGGATCACATGAAGTTTAGGCACCCTGGCTAACCTAAATCGTCCCAGGCAGTGTTAGAAGGTGTTTAATCATCTTCACCCTGTTAACCCTTAGGCCCCGGGTGACGTTCCAGAACGCGTGCCTATTCCCGCCACTGTTTAAATGCCCAGCGTGGGTTATCAGGTTCCAGTGTGACTATTTGCCTGTCACACCACTCGCTCGGCCACAGGGAAGCTTCCTGAACATAATTACCTACTTTTGTTTGTTTCATTTTCATTGTTTGTCCATTTTATCATGTTGTATCAAAGTAATATTGATAAAAGTAATGTAGTTGTACTGTAGGGTAGTATTACTGTAAAACAATGCTATGATTATGTTATAAATGTATTTATTTGTGGAATTATTATTTTATGCATTACTTGCTCTATCAAACACAAAGACAGCCAGGCAGACTGGCGACTGACTGGCGAGTGTTGCCAAACACTTTTTTATGAAAAATTATGCAAATAAAATATTCTAAATGAATTAATTAAAGCAAATAGATATTAAGATCGGTAAATACATACATTATTGGCCACCTCGGACACAAAGGCGAGCTAAAATAGCTGCTAAGTTTGTAGGGACCATGAGCATCAGCTGTCAACCCAATGCTGTCTCCTCATCTCCCCCCCCCCCTCCTCCCTCTGCGCGGTCACAAAAGTTTCTAGAGGGTCAATATATAGTTCTTCTTGCTTAATTTTTATTGTTTTATCATTTTAAAAGGTTAAAAATTATTTTTGGAAAAGTTAATTTTACTCGATTTACCCCCGCGTGGGGGGGGGTACTGCCACCAGCACCCTAACCCGGGGCTTAAGGGTTATATAAGATGGTGTGCCTAATGTTTACATGATCCAAAACATCAACTTAAACATGCAAATACAAAACTTATCTACAGGTCAGCACAGACACCCTATACTGTAGTTACACAAGGGCTCGTTCACGAAAACCGCACGAGGGTAAATTAAGGGAAGTCCAGACTGTTGCGAAGTTATGTGAGGCTTCGACCGGTTTAGTCCGTTCTCACGTTATAGACAAAACATCTCTCCTACACTCACTCGTCTAGGAATATGTCTACTGACTCTGAGGTTAGCGAGTAAGGGCACAATGCCTCTCAAACACCTTGTCATTTAAACCATGGAAGGATTCTCAAAAATAGAAATTCAGTTTATCTAAATTGCACAACATTTAATAAAAAAAAATTCCTACACAAGTATTCAAGTATCAAAAAAATATATTGCAATACATATTTTTTCCAAATATTCTCTCAAAAACTGACGACTATTTAGCTCATACACAATTATTTTTTTTTAAATTAAAAAACTTAACACGAAAAAAGATTTAAGAATGAGTTAAACTGTGTAGACAATATTATTAACATTACTCTGACAGTAATTAAAGAAGATAAACACCTAGATAAGCCTTTAAGTAGAAGACATAACTAAATAAGTAATTAGTTTAGAAGGCTTCATTAAATTTAATTTTTTCCTTAAGTATATCCTTATTACTATAACAACAATTTCCCAGCCTTATCAACCCAGTGCTGGTTGAGGTCACTCCAAGTGTTGGCAGTACAAGAGTCCAAGGAAAAGACGAGGCAGACTTATCCAACCTGTCGGCTGACCAATTAGACCAGGTAAAAATTAGCCCCGGTCACCCAACCCTGTAGAAGTAGAGCCCAACAGAGTAAGCGACCAGAGCATCATCCCCTGTGTCTCGGCGATGCTGTATATGACCTCAATATCCACATAAAAGAAACAATCACAAGCCAAGAGTTCAAATGTACAATTTGAAATTTAGTGCATCAATACAACAATGTTTTTAACAGCCACTGGGAGATAATCTATCCATATAAGTTATATATTTTGTCTAACTGTTATAACTTTTACTTCCTTGATATACTGTAACAACTGAAATATAAATAATATGAAGTCTTGTGCATAGTTAATAAAGAAATTAATGTAAGATAATAGCTATTGAAACATATCACAAGACTAACTCCTCTTGGCATATACAAGATTTTAGATGAGATGAATCCAATGATAAACCTTAATTTTATCAATTAACTGATTGGAATTCCAGAAAAATAAAATAGTGGAGAAGATACATTAAATAATTCACCTTAGATACACACACACAGTCTAGCACAAGAAGAACAGAGCGAGCAGTGATATTAACAAGAATAATCAAAAGAAAACAAAAATCTTTCATTATTAAACAAAAGAACTACAATTTTTTTTAATTAGAAATTTAAAAATGGTATAGAAATCTATATCATATTAACTGATTGTTTATTTTGTACATTCTGTTCATATTTTTGTACTTTAGTGTGTTATACGGTAGCTACTAGAGTACCTACAAGCAATCAGTTTCCTTGATGTGACATACACACACACATCATTCATCTACCATCAGTGAGTTTCTCATCACGTGCTCTTTACTCTGGTCGAGTTTTCACTCTAGGATAAAATATGTGACTCCACATATTGATAACGTCAACAGTTATCAATGTTACTTTCAGGTGCAAATTTTATAGATTTTAATTACGATATTAAAAAAAAATCTGAATTTCATTTCACAAATGCCGTCCAAAACATCTCGTTAAATCCGATTCATTAACAACATCACACTTCAACGAGGTAGATCTCGGAGGAAACAACTTTTCAACGACCGGCAGACCTCACGTTAAGCCTGGCCCAACGACACTCTACGACCCATCACAGAATATACACTATGCATCGCTCATAGAATCGCTTCCCGTGTCTTTCTCCGAGGTCGACGACGTGGCAACGTAAGGGGAGTCACTTCCGTCGTGCACGGGCGAACTGTCCCCTTCGTTACCGCTCGCTCCTTCTTCGTACGAATTTTCTCCGAAAGTGTTTGCACTGGCGTCGGAATCAATGATTATTTCCGAATCGTCTAAATTCACCACGTCCGAACTTGACTGATTATGTACCCGTACGTCGACTTCTTCTTCGACGACAAACTCGGCCCAAGGATTTTGTACCATATTATGGGACACAAACTTATCAATTGGTATGTCAGTCAGTGGACCTCTATTTCGACCTCTTTTTGAGTTACTGAAAGAGTTAAAATTGCTGTGGTCCCCCGATCTGTGTCTTGGCGTGCTTGAGAAACCATGATTGTGTCCATAAGGATTATTATTCAACCTCACTGGAGAGTGTTTGTAAGGGTGAGCAAACCTTGGGCTGCCCTCACCACCAAAGCTCCTTGAACCTCCACGATTAAACCTCCCTCGGCCTCCACCACCACCACCACGCCTGTTACCCTCCTGACCACCACCAGAGAAGGAGATATAATTATTAGCTGAATCACTTGAACTGCGGTGTAAAGGAGATGAATGACTGTGACGACTTGTGCCACCACCGTACATGTTGGCTCCTGAGGCTGCCCGGGTCATGATCAAGAAGCTCGGTGGAGGAGTAGACTGTGGCCTCTGGTACTGATGGTGTCCCTGGCCACTGGTAAATGGGTTGGGTAAACGACTCATACTGCAGGTGGCGAGATATAAGATGTTATTGAGGAGATATTTAATGTTTTTGTTGATAACCTGAAGAAGACGCTGTGGTGTTTACCTGAGGGAGCGTTCATAACTAACACTAACATAAATAATAATTAAACTACTTACAATCTTCACCAAACATTATAAAATAACTTTGATAAATAATTATTATAATTTAAATGAACCTATAATTTAAATAATATAATACTAAACTATTTTTTGTATAAAGTATATAATTTGTGGAGTTATGAACGTCAAAAATATTTGCTATAATAATCATTGTAATAAAACTTATTCAGTAATATATACAATATAATCAAATGTATAAAATGGATTATAATCACTAGATATACTTAAATAATAGCCTATAACTCAAATATGTTATATATAAAACTGTTTGTGGGAATAATTAAGATAACTTAAACAAGGAATGACTGTATGTCTGTATTTACTGTGTATGTGTGTGTGTACTGTGTATGTGTGTGTTTGCCATTAATAAAAGTGTCATAAACCAGTCAGAGTGTGAGGTCACCAAGTCCTGTGAGTATTACTTAACTTACTATACTTTTATCCTCTTCACCACTGATTGGCTCGTTATCCGCTTGGGCGATCGGAAAGGGGTTGGGCAGTGGTCTCTCAAGTATTCCTTTAAGTTATGTATTAAAGTTTGCAGTAAATGTCCAGGCTAAAACAACCTTGAGTATTGAGGTGCAGTGTGCAGCAGTAAGTTGAGAACTTTACCAGGGGCGGACTAACCCACCCACGGGGCTGATCGGCTCATTACCCGTTTGAGCGATCGGTCACGTCTCTGATTACTTTTCCTTTACAAGAAGACATTACCAGAACACACAGCTGGTGGCCAAAGAGCATAATAGATGACGACACTGAACCAGAACCAATATTTACACAATGAAAACTACAATACACTAAAGTAGTGAATGAAAAGATGGGGATACTCCAACAGACACACAAGAACATAAAGCCCCCCACCCCACACCACAAACTAGCTTAGCTTAGTTTAGCTTGTCTTCCCTTGCCGGAGTGGACCTGTTGGCGAGGCAGACATAACCCCGTCCCCCTGCTATCATATCTCCCACTCTATTTCCTACTTGCTAACTTTACCTTCCTCCTACACCATCTTCTGAGCAAATGGCTCTCTTCTCTCCATCTCATCATCTTCATCATCAGGAGTCAGTCGATCACTTCTGTTCATAGTGTAAAAAATAAGTCTAGTAGAAGAACTGAAGATAACTGTTGTGCAAGTGTTGTGGAATTGTTGTGAGCAACATAAAGTGAGAAGACAAAGGAGTTGTACACTGGTAGTGTGCTGACTATATTAGAAGTGTGGAGTCAAGCTGTGAGGACATTACCCTCTTGTGAAGAATTAGTGTTTGTTAAAGAGACTACAGTGCACTAGTGTGTTTCTGTGACCTGGTGGACATCTACCTGCCTGTTGTTGTCTGTACTGTACAGTGATACCGATAGTCGGGAAGTTACCAGGGACTGGTGGGACAGCCAGTGGTAATTCGACAACTCTTGCAAGATATCTACTGCTTCTGTACATACTACCCTGGTCGATGTGTTAATAACGAACTTGACCTTCAGTTCTGGCACAAATCAATAGTTTCTGAGCTAAGCCCCCTCCCTCCCCTCCTCCCATCTCAGAATCTAGAGATTTGCTATAAAATGAAGGTGAACAGTGTTCAAAACACATTGGAAGGTAAATATTTAGTGGTTGCCACCACCTAATTGACTTTTGAAAATGGGTTTCTATGGTGTAAATCATTGTGATGAATACAAATATGACCTTCATTACTGTTAGAAATGAGCAGTAGTTAAGATATTGAAAAAAAAGTGGAAGGTCAAACCATATAGACAAAAAATTATCATTTTTATTTTACTGTTATGTGTACGTACACACAATTGTTCATACAGAATGTGCAAAAAAAAAATAATAATAATTATCTTAAAGTCAAAAACATAAAGGGGATAAAAATGTCTTATGTGTGTGTATGTACAGGAGGGCTTAACACACACAGTGGAGGTGAAGAGGCGGAGGATCTCAGCTTGCTGTCTTGTTCATAGTGACAAGCTTGTCAAATGGCAACACAGTATATTTTGTTTTCTTTTATTTTTATTTATTTCTTTCATTCACTAGTACAGTACAGTATTTAAAGTATAAAGAATAGTTTCTTTCATACACAAACCATCCTCTGGGCGATGTGACACAGTTCAACTGGTTAGCCTGGCAGTGACCGTAGAAGGGCAGAACCTCCCGGGGTGGTCACAAGTGTTATGTCATTCCAAGATTGCATCGTCGTGTCTTGGAATATTGCGAGTTATTGTACGTCTCTTTTTCACATATACTATACTGTAGATCCATCGTATATAATGGTCATTGCCGTACAAATATTTTTTTCAGTGTTCATGATTAACGTACAAGAGTATATATAGACTTATGTTATCACGTTATGTGCTATGATGCGATTCAAGGAGCAAGTTTTACAGCTTTAGATATTCCCTAAATATTATTAATTTAAGCCATTGATTACCATTGAGCTATTACACCATAGAGTAGTATGAGGTTCTTGTATGGAAAAATACACAATACTGTACAAGGGAAATATTTGGCTGCCAAGATAACTTTGTTTTGTCTAGCAGCTATACTGTATTATGCTACAAACTTTCACTCAGATAATGTCTGAAATCACTCCATGTCTCAGTCTCCCCAGTTCACTGTTAAAGAAAAAAGTACATTACTATCTGCATTAATATCCCAATGTTGTACTGTACCATCCTAACTTATGCTGGGCTGTGAGACACTCATGGACACATACAACGTGTAATGGAAGGAGTTGTACTGTTCACGTTATAATGATCTATTTTATCATTCATAATTAAACTTTTTCTCATCCAGGTGGCATCGATGATATGTAGACGGGTGAAGAAAAAGATGCACCGTCCCAGCTCACCACATGGGGAGTGTTTTTTTAACTATATGAGACCATAGAGTTTGTACAGCAACACGGTCAAGGATTAATGGTCTTTGCTTTTGAGGGAGAATTATCGAGTATGAAGGGTAAACCAAATTATATAATCGCTCATCTCTCTTTCCTGGGTAGACGACTGTCCTTCCATACACACATAGACTCTCATAATAGTCTATATGAAACTCACCCCAACTTCATAAACTCACACCTTCTTTATAGGCTGTGGAAAGAAGGTTTACCTATACATGATGAAATGGTCCCTAAAAGCAGAGGTTTAATTATTGTCTCTAGTCAATTTTAAGTTTGTGAGTCACGTTTTGATGGGAACACCCGATTGATATCAGGTCTAATTTTACATTAAGTAGAACATGTGCAATATAATTTTAATACAATCTTTTATTAATTAAACTAAGGACGTGAGAATGATGGTGTTTGAATACGATGTATTTTTTATTTTACCCGGTGTTTTATTTTTGGTACTGTATATGTACAGTATTTCCGTGAAACTTCGATATAATGGTCCCTCCATATAACGGACATTCATATACACAGTAATCCATTAAATAGGGGTTACACTCTACAGTATCTCGGTATATTGGTGTTAAAAATTATTATATACTGTTGTAGATTATATTTCTTAAGAACAATTATAGTTGAATGTAATTTTTTTGTTTGATGTAAGAATTAAGTCCACAAGATGCCAAGATTTGTTTATTTCATCAATGTAGTTGTACACAAAAGTAACAAAAATAATTAGATTTACAGTTTGTATTTAAGTCTCAATAATTAACAATGTGAAAGGCAGCCAATTCACTCACAAGAACATATTGGTTAAAGCTTAATCCAAGCCTTTTATTTCTTATTAGTTATCAATCCAGGAACCTAAATGAATTTAAAGCTTTTATTTGTTACCAATTTTACATGAAAAAGGATTACAAAAACACATTAATACAAAATAAAATATGTTGGAATGTTAAAAAAGTTTTAGATGAACCTGATGATTTTGTTTGAATGGATAGATTCCTGGTTCTGTACACATCATTGTCCACTTTAAAAAAATATTAATTATTTGTATTAATGAGTGTTTCATACCCCAAGGAGAAGACAGATATACAACAAAATACAATAAAAGATAAGAGAAGGGATTAACATGAAGCCCATCACCTGTAAGTAAGAGACTGTATGATACCGTACCTTTCATTACCGATAGCATAGATCACCTGAAGAATACCACCCCCAGCTTATATCACCTGATAATTAAATACCCTAATACTAATTGAGTGGTTTTAGGTCATTAGGGAGACCAGAGGAAGCTAATCCCCAGGTCGGCCAAAAGAAGTTAAGTAACCTCGATAGAGTAACATAAATAATTGCAGACAATATGTTTTTTATCGTAAATTATAAAGTTTAAATATCGAAAAACTACAGAATTTCCATCTATCCCTCATGAGGTTCTTAATACCGTATATGTAGTAGTATCGACAGTGTGTCTCGTAGGTCATGCGCCTCACCGAAAGTCATGACAAATCAACGAAGAGGAAAGAGACAGTCAGTCAGTCACTTAAAAAAAGAGAGAAGGAAAATAATTATCCCAAAGTGAATGATCTGTGAAGAATGGGAAATACATTATACAGCATCTTGGTTTAATAATTATCCTTCCATGATTGGTTGCAGGATGTATTAAGAGAAATAACATACAAAATTTCCACAACATAAACATCGCACCGGTAACCTGACATAATTCTGGTTAGTATGTGTGCAGCATCATTAAACTGTGCTATTTAAAATGGTGGTTCTGTGTGAAAATGGCCCCTAAAAGACTGCCTAGTGTCAGTGCTAGTGATGCTAGTGGAGTGAAATGTGAAAGGCAGAAGCCAGTGATGACCCTGACAAAGAAAGTTTTATTAAAGGATAAGTTAAAAGAGGGACGAGCGCTGTCACGGCTGGTCGGTGTAGGTATACAGTAGTGCACTAAGGTTGTATAAGTTGCTATTTGTGGTTTTGCCTATTCACGTCATCACTTGGAGCCTGTCCCCCGTGAATAATAAGGGTGTACTGTATAGGTGTATCATTTCTCACTCTTGATTTGTTTTTTTAATATTTGTATTTATTTGTGGCTCTTTATTATTATTATTTTCTTGTATAATAATTGTAAATTATTCTTACTTTATTATTATTATTATTATCATCATCATCATTATTATTATTTTATTATATTTTTGCCCCCCAGGCCTTGATGTGGGTCATTGACCTGTGCCTGGGTGTGCTAAAGCCCGTAAGAAAGGGCGAACTAAACACAACAGTTCATAACCTTCAAAAGATCCCAAATAAGTTGTAATGTTACCAAAGAAACTTAACCTGATGTTAACAAAGATAGATTAAGTGTGAGGTTTAAAGGTGATGCTACAGTGCTTAAGTGACCCATTACCATAAGGAATAAACAAGTCCTATAATACTCGATAAAAAACAGATCTAGTCACCTTTACCCCTTCAATACTGGGATGTGGCACTGCTACTTTTATTCAGCAGAGAGAGGACCCCATACACAAGGGGCTAGCACACTATATCTCCACTAAGTCAATAAAGCTTTCATACAAACAGTCAAACTCTTCACCTTCACAACTTGGATGCTGCAGCTTCATCAAGTATCCAGATCAATTCTCCCCTGACAGGCTTAACCATCCCTGTGGGCAATTCTTCTCCATCTCCCAGGATACGCTGAGGAAAGGTGACGCACTAATGACAACATAACAACTGGGTATGTGTGCAGCAGAAGGACAACTGAGACGGAAAATTAATCATTCTAAATAAGTAAAAATCTTGCTCACACAGTTCACTTTTTTCTTTTAATTTCCTCCATCTATTTTTAATTTTAATCTGTCTATAAAATCAATTATAACTCTCACCTTGACCATATCAGCCTTCCCCTGTCCGGCCATCGCAAACACACAACAGCGGGCGGCGTTTATGACGGGGAAAGTCATGGTGACTCTACACGGAGGAGGTTTAGGGGAGTCACTAATGGCAGCGATCCACACATTGTCTTCCTTCAGTAGCTGGTGACCTACAACACAAACCACCCCGTCATAATACACACACACACATCATAATAACTATCCTTATAATAACTTTTAACAGTAATAGAACTACAGTACCATACAGTACCATAGTAAATACTGACATAAATTACAAGTACTGTATTAACTGTATTCATAGTACAACACATCATCCAGAAAAGGTTACAACATAATACAGTAAAATTCAACACACATTTAAAAATTAGACTCAGTGATCAGGTAGTGTTGTGGCCATCTGTCTGTAGTGTTGTGGCCATCTGTCTGTAGTGTTGTGGCCATCTGTCTGTAGTGTTGTGGCCATCTGTCTGTAGTGTTGTGGCCATCTGTCTGTAGTGTTGTGGCCATCTGTCTGTAGTGTTGTGGCCATCTGTCTGTAGTGTTGTGGCCATCTGTCTGTAGTGTTGTGGCATCCATCTTGTGTTGTGGTCATTACTCCCTAGTGTTGTGGCCATAACCCCCAAGTGTTGTGGCCATTACTCTCAAGTGTTGTGGCCATCTGTCTCTACTTACCGGGGAAAAGAGAGGCCGTGTGTCCGTCTGGCCCCATCCCGAGCAACAGGAGGTCAAACTTTGGCCAATCACAATCAGGGAACTTTGCTCGTACTTTCTCCTCATAATCTTTCGCTGCTGCTGTCACTGTGTTAAGATTTACCTCCAGTTAACTTGCAGACATTTATCTAAGAGTTCTTTCATACAAAAAACCCAAACAAGCTTAATTTCACCCGAAGATTAGACACCCTAGATTATTTCACTCAATGATTAGACACCCAAGATTATTTCACCTGATGATTAGACATCTTAGATTATTTCACTCAATTAGACATCCTAGATTAATTCACCTGATTAGACATTCTAATATATTCCACCTGATGATTAAACACACCAGGTGGGACAGGAGGGAGGGAGGAAGGGTCAAAACTTAAGATAATACAAATTATTTACTACGTTACCTTCTAAATCTGGGTTAATGGCAATAAACTGTTCCTCCTTCAATGGTGTCTTGCCAACCAGACCATTGCGATATAGTCTATAGGTAGAGTCCTCGGCTGTGAACGGCACAAGACGTTCGTCGCAGAAGAACAACGACCACTTCCCCCACTCGGTCTGGATAGAAGGTATTCCATTGCACACAAACTTGGCCATGGACCCTCCTGGAAGACACACATTATCATTAAACACCAAGATATTTTCTCAGTAAAGTATCTATGAAACTTGTCGAGCAATTCATTTATTTTATTATTATATTTTTCGCCATTTATCGTCTCTATTCTACCACTAACACCGCCAGTTAATAATCTATACATTACAATACTAAATTACTAAACTCACATACAGTACTACCATGGTATAAAAGCTGCCACGATTCACCTACATACAGGCACTCAAATTCACCTTTTAATTATAGTTTTTTGGTTATTCTCAATATTTCTAAACGCAAACAGGAAAAAAAATATGTAATTACTGGATGTATTTAATGTGCCAACGTATAACTGAAAATAATAAGAATCCGTTTTAATACAGAGTGACAGACGTACATGAGTGTATTGGTAGTACAATTACTTTACTATATTACTGGTAAATATTATACATACATATTAAACAGTGTATATACTTTCTAACCATGACAGCTGGCAATATCATCCTCGTCTCTTACCTGATAAACCAATGGTAAAACTTCCTCTCTGTTTGATAGATTCATTAGAAAGTTTCTCAATTAAACTACACAATTCTTCCGCCACCTCCTCTTCATTTTTGACGACCTTACGAACAATTTTAGACACAGGAGATGACATTTTGTACGAGGAACAGCTAGAGTAGGAAAGGTTTATCTGGATTGTGTTTACGTCGTCGACCATCAGCTGTGGCCTGTAGTAAGATTTTCCTAAGCCACAGCTGGAGAAACATGTGTGACGTAGGGAAATAACGTCACGGGATGTGGCCTGTAGTAAGACTTTCCTAGACCACAGCTGGAGAAATATTGTGACGTAGGGAAATGACGTCATAATATGCTGTTTTTTTTTCGCGTGTTGTAGCACAGGAAATATTAACAATCCTTCTAGTCTCGGTGGCCGGCCAATGCAACCCAGTTAAAAGGATTTGTCTATTTAAGTATCACCGAATAGGAATTAATCCATCATACTTCACTAGTGAGTCGTTAAACTTAATTTCTTTCAATTTTATCTATAATTACTCGTCAATAAGGTAGTTTAACTAGTTTAATTACTTATATCTTGACCGTGTTTCAGGTTATGTTTTCATCAGAGTATTTAATTTTTAATGACTATGTTAGTTTAAATGGTAAGTAATGGTTAACCAGAGTTTAGTTATTATTTTATGTTGTTGGGATCTTCACGGGTCTCTTATATGTATTAATGCCTTATTTCTGAATCAGGTTTTTAATTGATTTTATTATACGTAAAATTCTATACCTTTTAAACTGAATATTGATCTAATATTTATTATAATTTTGTATTATTAATATTAATCCATTCATATGTATTCCCCATGTTTAGATGTATTTATGTATCTTAATGCCAATCTACTGTTTATATATCTATCTATAATAGCAGACAACATGAACTAAATATAAGTTAATGTTAACCAGAAATTATTCTTTTAAAGTTTATTTGTATAATTATTGAAGGTTTGTGTTGTAACCTAACCTAACCTGACTTGGGTATACAGTGAAACCTCCATACAGCGGATTTTCTTCTCTATATAGTTCGTTAGATGAAGGTTTCACATCTAACAGACCCTTGATATAATGTACTTTCTACTTTATTGTTCGTTAAATAGCTGTTTCACCATTATAACACTTAATTGTTTGGTCCTGCCAGAATGGGGTAAATTTCTGTGATGACATTTGTAAACTGCAGAAGCGCTGAGGCCGAGACCTACAGTAGCTATTACCACTAAAAATTAACTCCGACTTAGTTTTTGTCCGTCTCATACACAGTGTTTGTAGTCTGTGGTTTAAAACAATATTTGGTTATAAATCTAGTAGGCAAGAAACCACCAGTACAGCTTAAATGTTGACTTCAAAGGAATGATCATCAGGTTAGGATTAGGTGAGGTGAAGTTAGTTAGGTAGGTTAGATGTGTTAAAGGTTAGGTGAGGTGAAGTTAGTTAGGTAGGTTAGATGTGTTAAAGGTTAGGTTAGGTGAAGTTAGTTAGGTAGGTTAGATGTGTTAAAGGTTAGGTTAGGTGAGGTGAAGTTAGTTAGGTAGGTTAGATGTGTTAAAGGCTAGGTTAGTTTAGCCCCCAGCTTAACTTGCTAGAAGATTAAACACTGTAATGCTAACTTAACCTAACCTAACCTCCCAGGTAGCATTAGGGTGATTAAACTTCAGGTGAAATAAGCTGGTAAATCTCTCATACTTTGGCCTGGGTTTGAGTCCCCAGGCCAAGTCATATGTGAGAAGGGTGTTATCCTGTGTGACCCAACCAAACATAACAGGTTTTCTCCAGGTACTGTACTGCCATCCTGAACTAACACTGGATAATGAAGGTCATAATAGTATACAAAAAATTGACCAATCATACGGCCATTGAGTCGATAAGAGGTGAAATGATAACAATAAATTATGTGGGAACCTCTTCTGTAATCTTCACTCACAGAACTCATCCTGTAGAGGGGACTGATATTGTCTACATGCTTCTTTTCAAGGCTAGTGTTTACTTTACTTTACAATACTTTACTTTACAATATTTTACTTTACTTTACAATACTTTACTTTACTTTACAATACTTTACTTTACAATATTTTACTTTACTTTACTTTACAATACTTTACTTTACTTTACAATACTTTACTTTACAATATTTTACTTTACTTTACTTTACAATACTTTACTTTACTTTACTTTACTTTACAATACTTTACTTTACTTTACTTTACTTTACAATACTTTACTTTATCCTGATCGTGCTTGTTACCTACTTGGGCCGTCAGTCACGTCTCTGTTACACACCGTTGACAAGTACTTGGCATTCACTGACCTCCTACTACCGAAAGTGATGCTTGATTTAGTCTGGGTTCTTGCATTGCCCTCTCAAGTCATGTTAAGAGTCAACAGCAGTCATCATAGCAGCATTTGTTTATTGAAGACTTGGGGTCATCCACTGTGCTCTTAGGTTATCCGCTGTGCTTTTAAGTCATCCACTGTGCTCTTAAGTCATCCACTGTGCTTGTTATCTCCCCAGCCATCCTTTGCTTACCTTGAATCCACGCTCATTATCTGGACTGTCTGTGTTTTTCATCTTGTACTTCAACCTCAATGATACTCTATATGTAATTCATTTCAAGATCTTAGTCACTTTATGATGTGTTCGGTATACTTGTACACCAGCGTATTGTCACAGTCATGTATGTAGGGGTGGGTGTGTGCGTGGGGGGGGGGGGGGGTACATTAGGTTGGGTTTAGGTTAGGTGACGGTGGTTAATCTTTAAAGGTTTGGCGTCACGGGTGTGTTTACATGTGCGGGTTTTTTATATTCCAAACCTCGGCAGACATATTCCTCGTAGAACTGAAGACGAACTCAAGGTTTTAGTATGTGAAACTTTTGTAAAACTTATCCCATTGTGGAACTTGAGTTCTTCTTACATACATTGAGAAAGAATTGCACCAATATCAGTGACATTTGGTGCAGTGATGGGTAGACCATAAGTTGGTTTTGTCATATGATCAATGTTTATGATCTGATTGAATCTTATACAATATGTTAAAGAAGTTATTACCGGTATATATACAGTATTATTACAGCTATAGTAAAGTAGTATTTTTTGCCTCTGTTCCCACATACAATATAGTTCTGGTTGCAGGGATGATGTAATGTTATTTTAATTATTTGTTTGTACAGTATTTTATGATAGTGATATATATTAATATTTGTTGTTCATTTTCCTGAGGCAAGACTTCAGTACTGTACAGAATTTATGATTGATTATTTAGGTGCAGTCACTCAAAAAACTATCTGTACTTGGGGTGATCGATGAATTTCTGAATGAACGTTGCGGCTCCTGTTGTCTTGGTAGGGTTGTCAAAATCCTTCATCCGTTGTGTCATATTTTTTCAGCACAATTTTGTGTCGATAGTTTTTGACTGTAGATAATTTGCAGTACAGTACAGTATACTTAATGTACTGAATTTGATGAGGGTTGATGGTTACAGTGATTGAATCATGCAGTACAGTAAAGGTTGGTATTTTGTGAAGCTCCTGGCACCCTAGTTCACCCAGCTGTAAATGAGTACCTAACTTCATACCTGGGGTGGGTGAACAGTGACCACCAGACTGCTGTATCCACTTTATCCCTGATAGGTTGTGAGGCCTACGATGACACTGCCTCCCAAGGCCTTCATGTCTGATAACATATAATGATAAAAGCTGATCCAATTACTCTACACTTTCCATTTTTATTTATTCCTGTACAGTAACTTGAACACCTACATTATAAGTTCTATTTCACATGACTATATATATTATGTTAACACTAAGGGAGGGTTAGTCACATATAGTAGTGAGGTAAGGAGGTTAGGTTAGTCATTCTGGGATTATGTGGCAACTTTCCATTGTTCATAGGGTCTGTGAGGGTCGCTGTTGCTAGGGTACAGTATGAAGGTGTCCCATTTACCTGGTGGCAATATTCATCATCTTTTATACCTGCAGTTGTATTTTACTTTAAACTGTGTTGAAGGAAGGTGTTGGTCTATTAACTTGTGTTGAAGGAAAGTGTTGGTCTATTAACCTCTGATGAAGGAAGGTGTTGGCCTATTCTTTTAATATTTTACTTTAATTTACTTTCCCCCGGTGATTTTTCAATGGGTTTTAGCTTACCCATACTGCACATTTTTACCCGTACAGTATCTTCTGGCGGCGTCCAGGATTAAGCGAAGGGCAGCGCTTAATTTGACATCGTCTCTTTAATCTGCCCGTCGAGATACCATAAACCACAATAACAAACATAGAAACTTTTCACCGAGACAGAATTATCGAGTGTAATGTGAAACTTACGTCGTGTTGTGATAATTTGGACGTGGTTTTCCCATTGTCCTGATATTGTCCCATTGTCCTGAGATTACGGGATAGGTTAGAGGTGGGGGATTGTGATAGGTCGTTAAGATAAGGGTAACAGAGGTAACATGGGTACATTACAAAGGTTAATAAGGTTTAAAATGGTGATATGTAACTGATAAGCTTGTGAGGCAGGGGTCTGGTTGGTAACAAGTATATTGGCGGGTCTGATTGTGTGATTAATGGCTATGAACTGCTATCTGTAACTGTCTCGTCCTGATTCAGTGATGGTCACTTTGTTTGTTTACATATTCTCGTATTTTTTCACGTCGTTTCATTATTTAGTGTTAGGTGTGTTGGGACCAGGTGTAAATGCGCACACGTGAACTTGAAATACACACGTACACACACCATAAAACACACACACACACACACATGAATATACACACACACACATGAATACAGATACACATGAATACACACACACATGAATACACACACACATGAATACACACACACTCACATGAATACAGTATACACACACTTACATGAATACACACACACTCACATGAATACAGTATACACACACTTACATGAATACACACACACTTACATGAATACACACACACTCACATGAATACACACACACTCACATTAATACACACACACTCACATGTTTAGGCTAGAGTGGTGACCCATTGCAGGTGTGGTATTGTGGTAATAAGGGTTCATGAGTCGGGTAGTGCTGTCAACACCTAAGTCAGCATGGGTTGCCTGATTATTAGGCCCCCCCAGCAGCTGATGATTAAGCACCTTGAGGGGTTAGGTTAGGTTAGATATTTGAAGTAATTAGTCTATTTTGTCTGCAACTGTATCATATCAAAGACCCATTAGTGATTGTACTTTATATATAAAAAATCTTATTTATATCATCGTTTAACACATCTTGGTTGAAGGGGGTAAGCTAGGCATGCTCTTTCTCTCTGTTCTCTCTCTTCTCCTTCTCTCTCTCTTCTCCTTCTCTCTCTCTTCTCCTTCTCTCTCTCTTCTCTCTTCTCTATCTTCTCTCTTCTCTATCTTCTCTCTCTCTCTCTTCTCTATCTTCTCTTCTCTCTTCTCTTCTCTCTTCTCTCTCTCTTCTCTTCTCTTCTCTTCTCTTCTCTTCTCTTCTCTTCTCTTCTCTCATCCAGCCAACATAGAGAAAAAAGATTATGACAGGAAGTCGTGGGGAATTTTTGCCGACATGGATAACTTTGTTTGCGTCCGTGTTGATGAATTCGTACATTCCTCTGTCGGTTTTGTCTGTGAGGGAGTTGGCCATAATGGTGTCTTGTGAAGTAACTCCCTTTTTTTTTGTGTGGTGGTTCAGTTTGTTTGGTCTTTGTATGATGTATACTTGTGTTATGTATAGATATTGGAGGTATACTGTTCAGTGTGTGTATATAGACAATGCAGGTATACAGTTCAGCATAGACAAGTATACAGTTCAGCATGTATATAGACAATGCAGGTATACTGTACAGTGAATCCCTGAACACATTGGTATAAACCTCCCTGCATCAATTTACTGAACACACAATTTGTCAAGGTCACACATGTTAACACAAATCACAGTAATATACAACTCTCTGCCAACACACGGGCTGTTATGGCGTTGTATTCCGAGCTTTATAAAATGCAAAAATAACCCCTCAGGGAGAATTATATCTTATATCTAATATCTATGAGTTAAAGCTAGGTTTAATATTAGAGAGGAATTGCTGTTCTTGTTAATATGTCATTGCAAATTCAGTTCCATATTTGAGTTGTTGCTACCAAATGTGACTGTTGTTGTTCTCCTTACCTGAAGTGAACGCTGGATACAAGAATACAGATTGAGAAAGGCTTTGTTGTTTGTTTGCCAGTCATTTAGTTTTAGAGATGGATGCTCTTGTGTTCGTACCAGAATTGGGTTTTAAGTTACGTGCATGAAGAACATTAGTTAGTTGTTGAAGCGTTGTGTTTTTATGTCTGTATGTTCAGTACACACACACGAGGTCCTTCATATCAACACCTGAAGACGAGTTACTACACCACGTGAACACCAAACCTCACCACCACCTGGTGTCTCCATGATTAGCCCAGGCCCGGGCCATCAACTGTAAACTATAATAATTTGTTTGTTCACTTCATGGTCCTTCTCCTTTCAGTAATGAAAGCTTTTGCTAAACGACTCACCCACCCCATGTCTTTGTAAGTAATAAGTCATTTTTGTCCAGTGTATATTTTCAGCCTTCGGGTTGCAGAACTTTTTCAATAAACTATTAATTATTATTATTATTTATTATTACACACACACACACACACACACACACACACATTCAATACTAATGTGTCATCTTTTCTACATAGGTATCCAACCATTCCCTGATAACCAGACATTGGGTAACCTTGAACCAGTGACCAGGTGTGTGAGAGAGAGAGAGAGAGAGAGAGAGTAGGTGTGTATTTATGTATATGTATGTGTGAGATAGAGAGGGAGAATATGTATATACAGTATATGTGTATGTGAAAGAGAAATTGTGTATGTATCTATATTGTACGTACGTGTGTGTGTGTTGGTATCTGATGTTTGTTGTCAGGGAAGATAGAGTGTTGACTTGACCTGATGGACACTTGGGTGCTTGTGAGACACTGCCACTACAAGGTCTTACCCCGCTAACAGGTGCAAGGGGTCGTGTGCACACCTCATAACACTGATATAACCTCATCCATACCATACTCTTAAACCAACCTTAAAACAATATTGAGTTTTAAACATGAATTATAGATGGTTTAGGAAATATGTTAAAACAGGTAAAGTGAGTTAGTGTTGTGTGATTGATATATATATGTGTGTGTGTGTGTCGTGTGCAGTCGTATCATTGCTAGTTGATATCAGTCTGTGTTATTTCTGTGTTATCGAGTGGCTATACCTCACAGTGGAGCTATATCACAGTCACCTCTTGAAAGCTCAGCTGCACTAGTGGTCGCTAGAGTGCCCTAATGGTCCTGGACAATGCTTTAATGTGGAGCATTGCACGCACACACACACACACGCACGCACGCAATACTAAACTCTCTCTCTCTCTCTCAGATATTTGTGGTAGTGACAATTTATACGCCTAGTACAGCAACAGTCTGATTATTACTATTATTATTATTATTATTATTATTATTATTATTAAATGTTAAAAAAATCACTAACACTTTACACGAGTATCTGGGGTGTACTTAAGATTAGCTAGTGAAGTTGTGTGTACGTGAGCTGTGTGGCAGAGGGGAGGTGGGTGGGTGGGTGGAGAGGGAGGTGGAGGTGGGGAGAAGGGGAGGGCGGGAAGAGGAGGGTGGAGAAGGAGGAAGAAGGAAGAGTAGAAGAGAAGGAGGAAGAAGGAAGGGTAGAAGAGAAGGAGAGGAGAGGGAGATGGGAGGCGGGAAGAGGAGGGTGGAGAAGGAGGAAGAAGGAAGAGTAGAAGAGAAGGAGGAAGAAGGAAGGGTAGAAGAGAAGGAGAGGAGAGGGAGATGGGAATGGGTGTTGAAGGAATGTGTATAAGATCGATTCCTCAGCCAAGGTTACTAGGGGGTGAGGGAGATGGGAGGAGGGGGGTGTTTACATTTTGGTTGTAATGGTGAGGTGACTGTTTCAGGGAGGGAGGGAGGTGAGGAAGGAAGAGAGGAGGAGGAGGAGGAGGGAAAGAAGGAAGAAGGGGAGGTGGTTAGTGCTGGATGATACGACTAGGTTGACCAATTGATCGCAACACACACACACACACACACACTTAATTAGCATATCAACTTTGAGATTTGCTCCATATTTACAAATTATTGACCATACTGATATTTGATTACCTATTCTAACTAATTTCCTTCGTTAACCTTTAAATTTGTAGCTGTTTGTACATTTTAAGGGTTAATTTATGTACTGTAGCCTGAAACTGTAGTTGGTTGATCCTGTAGCAAGTCGAGGGTAGTTGATAGTGTAGTCTGGGTATAATAGTAATGTAGCCTCTTAAGATATGATGTGGCCTTGAGTATGATGATGATTTAACCTCCTCGAGTATGATGATTTAACCCCTTGAGTATGATGATTTAACCCCTTGAGTATGATGATTTAACCCCTCGAGTATGATGATTTAACCCCTTGAGTATGATGATTTTACACCTCGAGTATGATGATTTAACCTCCTCGAGTATGATGATGATTTAACCACCTCGAGTATGATGATTTAACCCCTCGAGTACGATATGATAATCCCGAGTATGATGATGATTTAACCACCTCGAGTATGATGATTTAACCCCTCGAGTACGATATGATAATCCCGTTAGCAGTAACAACATGCTACTGTAGGGGAGAATCTAACACAGAGAGAGAGAGAGAGAGAGAGAGAGAGAGAGAGAGACATTTTATAAGACGTTTTCCATCTATCTCTTTCGACTCTACACTGAGGTACAACGACATTTAGTCCCTCTCAGTAGACCAGAAAACCTCAAGACTGGAATACCAAAAAGGATCCCATTATTGAATTTGACATATCTTGGCTCTGGTGGACCAATCAGATAGCAGGGATGGGGTAACGTCAGAGAAGTGGGCGTTGCCGTATGGAGGAAGGGGGGGGACTTTAATATAGCCGTCACTCACGTAGTCGACCATTCAGTGACCAGCCAGCTTCAGGAGTGGGTGTGTTGACGTCTCTCTCTCTTAAGGTAATTTATTTAATAATTTGTTGAAAGCTATGGATATGTATACCAATATATATACATAATTACATCACTAATAAACATGAATATATTCAAGTATACATTTAAATTCATCCAAAATAGTCGTATATAAAGGTTGAATTAATACACATGTATACTTAGTTATCAAGATGATGTACACTTATGTATGTTTTGGTTGACATGTGAACAGGTAGTGGGGGTGATGGTAGTGGTGATTAACAGGTAGTGGTGGTGATCAACAGGTAGTAAGGGTGGTGGTGATCAACAGGTAGTAGGGGTGATGGTAGTGGTGATCAACAGGTAGTAGGGATGATGGTCAACATCTCTCTCTCTCTCTCTCATAAGAGTTCAAAGAGCATTATCAGTGTCCGCCAGGGCTTTCCTCTGGGGTAAACCTTATCATCTGGGAATAACTAACAGACACACACACAGACATACACACACAGACAGACATACACAGACAGACAGACATGTGGACGGACAGATATGCAGACGGACAGACATGCAGACGGACAGATATGCAGACGGACAGATATGCAGACTAACAGATATGCAGACTAACAGATATGCAGACAGACAGATATGCAGACGGACAGATATGCAGACGGACAGATATGCAGACCGATATGACTTTAACCTTACTTTTGTCTAGGTTAGGTTTGGGTAGGTTAGGTCTAGGTTAGGTTACGTTATGTCTTGGTTAGGTTATTTCTCATCTAAGTTAGGTCACGTCTAGGTTGGGTCACATCTAGATTAGGTCAGGTTACGTTACATCTTGGTTAGATTTAGGTTAGGTTCACATGTCTATCCAGCCCATGACATAATTAACTAGGTAATTGGTCGGTCACAAAACATCCTTACATGACAGTAATGAGGTAAACATGGCTTTGAGGGAATGAACTAACTACAGGATACAATAGACGCTTGTTGGTAGAGTGAATGTCTGTGTTCTGATATGAGGGTCATTATTGTATTGCAGTGGTTGGTAGTGGTTGTGGTTGGTAGTGGTTGGTGGTGTTTTCATTGATTCAAGGCTGAACTGATTCAAGGCTTCATCGCATATCACACAATACCACACCAGCTTGAGTACCACACCAGCTTGAGTACCACACCAGCTTGAGTACCACACATGGCCCACAGTACCACACCAGCTTGACTACCACACACAAAACACTCTACATGGGCTAGTTTATCGTGCACCTTTTTCATCGTGTACAAGGCTTTGTTTAGATTCGGTGCTGCTGAACTCTCATTGATAAGGGGTGGGGGTGAAGTCAGAGGCATTGGCATGGCACTGGTTTTAAAGGTGTAATTTGTGTATTTCGTGTATGTGTGTGTCTTCCGCTTCTCCTCCTCCTCCTCCTCCTTCCTCTCGTCTTCTCCTCCCTCTCGTCTTCTCCTCCTCCCTCTCGTCTCCTCCTCCTCCTCCCTCTCGTCTCCTCCTCCTTCCTCTCGTCTCCTCCTCCTCCCTCTCGTCTCCTCCTCCTCCCTCTCGTCTCCTCCTCCTCCATGATGGGTCCGTGGTGTTCGTGAACCAAATCTCAATATATTAAATGACTTATGTACGCTCATGTGTGTGTGTGTGTCACGTCCGTTTCCTGTCCTTTGTGTGTGTGTGTGTTGGGTGGAGTGAATCATGATGCCGTTGATATATTGTCCTGTCATTTACGAGGGATATTATTACATTTGGATTATTTGAGCCTTAACCTGACCTGACCTTTGATTAGTTTAGGTGACCTGGTTTATTCTACCTAAATTTGGAGAATCAATGACCCTTAGAACTAAAGAAAAATATCACCAGTGGAGAGAGATGGTGAGATGTAAGCCCTCGTCTGATGCGGGTCACTGAAGTGTATTGAGAGGCCCTCCAGAGCTGAGATAAGTGTACTAGGCTGTATGAGAACTGCTGTTATCACTCTCTGCTGATTGTGTGTGTAGGGGAACGCATTTATTGGTGTTTGTGTTAGCCTCTTGTGGGGGGTGGGAGGGGGGCGTATATTAATGAGTGGGTGGGTATGGAGTGGAGTGGGTGTGGAGTAGGTGGGTGAGAGAGCATCACTTGACGACCGTGAGATAAGATGATAGTACAGCACACCAGACTGACTGACAAGGTCTGTTGTACCTGCTGACTGCATATCATTAATACCTTTATCTGGGCCGTCAGCCTAGCTCAGGTGTTCATAATAGTTCCTAACCTAATCCTAACCTAATCAACTAATCTATCATATATATGAGTATGCAACCCCCCTTTACTAGACACAGGTGTAGTGAGCCAATTGAATACCTGTTTATAAGTCACCTTTATTTCCTCTCTTTCACGCACGTACACACTTCTAGCACAAATGTACACCACCCGCATGTGTACATCTACCCTACGTACACACACCACCCGTACACACACCCACCCACACGTACACACACCCACATGCACACACACACCCACCCCACACATGCACACACGTACACACCCACCCCACACCTCAAAGCATCATTATTCATCTGATGATTAGACACACTAATGCTTCTTGCCATTAGAATAGGCTTGAATTAGGTCAGATGAGCTTAGATTAGGTCAGATTAAGCTTAGATTAGGTCAGATTAGCTTAGATGAGGTCCAGATGAGCTTAGATTAGGTGGGGTCAGATTAAGCAGATTAGGTCAGATTAAGCAGATTAGGTCAGATTAATAGATTAGGTCAGATGAGCTTAGATTAGGTCAGATGAGCTTAGATTAGGTCAGATGAGCTTAGATTAGGTCAGATGAGCTTAGATTAGGTCAGATGAGCTTAGATTAGGTCAGATTAGCTTAGATGAGGTCAGATTAGCTTAGATAAGGTCAGATTAGCTTAGATTAGGTCAGATTAGCTTAGATAAGGTCAGTTTAGCTTAGATAAGGTCAGATTAGCTTAGATTAGCTTAGGTTAACTTAGGCTAGGTTATTTTAGTGTATATTCGATTACATAAGTGTGTTAAACCACCACCTGGAATAAGCTGGGCTGCCCATATCTCCAGGTGTACCATCCATTCATATGTGTATGTGTGTGTGTCGGGTGTAAAGGTTAGGTATATTTTTGGCTCATTGGTATTATGTGAAAGTATCAAGTATTTTTTGGTGTAGATAAAGTAATTAAAAGTATATAGATAGTTTGGGTGGGTTTTTTTGGTTAATAAGGTCAAAATAATAATATCGTTTTATCAGGAATTTTTGGGGTCTTATTATGAAGCTGTGTTATCAGTGACGTACACACACACACACACACAAGAAATAGTAAAATTACGAGATTATTATAAATTACATGTGGAAACCTGGCTCACTGAGGGATGTTTCCTGATATGGTCTGGCAACACAGAATTGAGGTAAATGAAGTGTACCTATATTATCTGCCATAGTGATAGTGAGGATTATATGGAGAGAGGGGAGAGAGAGAGAGAGAGAGAGAGAGAGAGAGAGAGAGGTCATCCTTACAAAACAATAATAATCTCTAATGACCCTGATGGATGCTCCTGGAGAAGATAAAACAGTAGCTTTTAAAAAATTCCCAGATTATTATTGTTGTTGTTAAAATATTTACGATGTCTCAATTGGGTGTGTATATTTTGTTATTAGGCGTAGATAAAGTTATATAGTTTGATGTGTGTGTACTTGACCTTCTTATAAGATAGGTGATTTTTACAGGATATTGTGAAATCTCTATTTAGCGGACTGTAAAGAGATGAGAGTCCGTTATATCGAGGTTTATATATTGTACACTGGATAAGTAAAGATGGAGGTGTGTGTGTGTGTGTGTGGTGTGTGTGTGTGTGTGTGTGTGTGTGTGTGTGTGTGTGTGTTGGGGAATAACTCGATCTGTTACACAATGATGGGGAGACACGCATAGTGGAGCCGGGTCAATCATCATCATCACACACACACACACACACACACTCACCCACGGTCCTACACACTCACCCACGGTCCTACACACACACACACACACACACATACATACATATATATACATACTGTACGCCACCACCCAACTCTTTAGTTACGCCACAACAGCCACCCAGTGCATACGCCTCTCGCTGACAGATTCACTCATAAACTCTGGACAGTAAGAAATGGTTTTCATTTATTACATGATGAGAATTTTTTTTTATTGTAGTGATTCTGACGGGTGTGGGGGCTGCGTGTGTGAGTGGTGTGGGATGCGTGTGTGGGAGTGGGTAGGAGCACAAAGAAGTGAACAACCCCATCCCTGCAAAACAACCCAATCCGTTACTCCTCCCTCCCTAATATGGCTTAAATTAGCTATATTATTTAATTCGGGTTATATTGTGTGTCTTGTTAGTCGGAACAGTGTGTGGGGAGGGGGGAGCAGTAGTCATGGCCACACAATGGTCAGTATCCATGGTATAGTTCTCGTCCACTAACATCCTGACAGATATATATTCAACAACATGTACTGCACACGCGCACACACACACACACTCACTCACTCACACACTCACTCACCACCACTCCACACACACACACACACACACACACACACACACTCACTCACTCACTCACTCACATTCACATGACCTGTTGTCTTGTCTTCCTCTTGTGTGATGGTCATAGTGGCAGCCTTGCACATGCACCCTCTCCCTACCCTCCTCTTCTCCACTCCCTCCCTCTCCTCTCCTGCTTCCTCCTTCATCCCTCCCATCCTCTCCCTCCCCTCCCAACCCCTCCTCCCCTCCCCCCTTCACCCCTCCCCTTCACCCCCCTCCCCTTCACCCCCTCCCAAAGGTCACTGAGTGGTAGAGAGGAAGTTCAACAGGTGGGCTGGATGGTGATGTGCCTTGGTGTCCAGTGTTGCCACCTCCACCGTGTAGGAAGGAACCATCTCACTGTCAATTTATACCGTGAGGCCCTGAGTTACACTGTTCCTGGTGGGCGTGGGTGTGGGTTAGTGTGTACTATAATCAGGAGTAGGGGTGGTAGTGATGGGAGGTGATTGTTCAGGGTATGTACGCACCACAGTGGGAAAACTCAGGCTAACTGTGTACTGGAGTCTGGTCTGGCCCCCTCTCTTTTTTTTTTTTTTTCTCCTCTTTCTTGATGAGTTAATTTCTGCTTCCTACTTGATTATCTAGTGGTGTTTGTTGTATTGTTGACCAGTATCATGCCTTAGACACACACACACACACACACTTATGATAATGATATTACTGCACAATACATCAGACAAACGCACACACACAAAATAAAAACAATATTTGATCATAAATGTTATGTGGGTACAAGGGAGCTCGTGTGTAATATTTCAAATATCAGTTGTTATAAATTATTCTTTTTTTCAGATCGCTGTATACAGTCTCCTGTGAACTGACCATTTAACAACGAACCCGCAGCCAACATATGAATCACTCCGGCATGGACCACTCTGGCATGGACCACTCCGGCATGGACCACCTCGGCATGGACCACTCCGGCATGGACCACTCCGGCATGGACCACTCCGGCATGGACCACTCCGGACATAACATGGCCGTGGCAGTAGTCAACGCAACGGCCAAAGCTATTGTAGATGTTATCGGAACAGGAGTCAAGATGGCCACTGGCTCTGGTAAGTATAGGCCTCAGTTTACTACAGATTTGGGGATATTTTGTTCATATATGACCCCACCTTCAGACACACACAACCACCCCTCAATACAGACAGGTAGACACTTCACCAGTGGTCAGACAGACAGACCACCAGTTACCATCAGACATAATTTGCAGTGTTAAGTGTCTGTACATTATATTCTAGGTTTTGGTCAGTGGCTGCCCATCTCTGCTTGATCCCCTGTTCATAAGATTTCATTTATTGTTCTAAAATACTAATTAATACTTTGTTATTGTTAGGGTATGGCTTTAACAAGTGAATGAGTGGGTGGGTGGATGGATGGATGGATGGATGGATGGATGGATGGATGGGTGAGTGAGTGAGATACATACATACATTCTGCTGCTCATCATGTAGTGTTTGTGATGGGAGTCTAAACATTAACACACACATATATTGCAGATGCCGGCGTCGACCACAGCGGACACATGGGACAAGAAGATCACATGGGCCACGGAGATCACATGGAGCCCACGGAGATCACATGGGCCACGAAGAACATGCAATGGGTACTGAATCCGGGCATCATGGTGAAGGGGGTATGATGATGTCAGTAAGTACTCCAATTAAACTTCTTTTTTCTCTAGATTATAAGTCCTATAGAAGGTCCCTAGGTCACGTTTGCCCGACCCGTGAACACCCACTGAGATGAAGGGGTTCCCAGTATTTTATTTACGTGATGACTTATTTTTTGCTTTCATTTTATGTATTTTATCATTATATTTCTTCTTTTCTTTTAAATTAAGCGATTCTAGATGACTTAGGATGTGATAAAGTAGAATTTTAAACATTGGTGTGGAAGTACCGTACGGTATGCACATGGGTACATAGTTCGACTTAATACCTTGTACGTAACCTGGGGACTTCCTGTACAGGGGTATTGTTTATCTTCATGTATACTGTAATCTATTTTCTTATTCTTGTATCCTTTTCTGTATTATCAAAGCTTAGATAGTAATTATTTATGATGTATAAATCATTCCATCACCTTTTCAGATGTCATTCCACTTCGGGTACAAAGAGACAATATTGTTTGACTGGTGGAGCATTGATACCATCGGTGGGTTGATTGGTTCCATGGTCGGCATCTTCATACTTGCGATGCTGTACGAGGGACTCAAGTACTGGAGGTAGGTCAGTGAGTGCATAAGTACGAGTCAAAAAGTTATTGCAGATCTTAGAGGTAACGAAAAAAGTACAACCATTTCTCCCTATCTTCCGAAGTTGTTTTCTCTCATTTTCCTTCCCTTGTATCGAACTATTATTGTATTCCCATTTGTCTTTGAGGTCTGTTTATAGAGTAATTCTTTTGTTTTGATTTTTTTTAGATCGATAGATATACTTTAAGAATTTTTAGACACACACACACACACACACACACACACACACACACACACACACACACACACACACACACACACACACACACACACACACAATCTTCCAGACACACACACAATACAGACTACTCGTTACACATACATTATAATAGTCTAAATAATGATCTGCTTCAACACCAATTATTACATATGAAATCCCTCAACAGAGAGCACCTGTTCCGAAAGGCCATAGCAGGGATGCAGTACTGTGCCAACGTTCAAAAGGCAACTGGTGGTGAAGAAAACAAAACCGTACAGTAAGTTGATGATAAAGACATAGTGTGATGTATATATTCTCTCTAGAAATTAAATGATACTATATGTATGATAGTTATAGTGTAATGTAGAAATATAATACAGTATGTATAGAAGTACTGTACAGTATTGATGTGGGTGTACTGGTTGAAGGGTGAGGTGTTGGTAGACGATCTTTACCATATAAACACGTTAGTTTTCACTTTCCCCCCCAAAAATTGATATATATAAAAAGTATGCGTGAAATAATATCTTAGTTTTGGGCATTTACTTAAAAATATAGACTACTGTATATCAGGGTGTCTACTGGTCTGGAACACCTGGAAAAGGCAGAGAATTTTACAAATAAACCTGAGATTTTATGTGAATTCATTTCAACTTCATTATTTTGACAGCAATCTTACCATAAATTAATGATGTACTGTATAATAGGTACCGTAATTAATGTACCTGGAATTTTTCAAATTACACCTGGAAAACCTGGAAAAGTCGGGAAATTTTGCTTTGTCTGGCCAGTAGACACCCTGGAGAGAGAGAGAGAGGGAAGCGTTTGTGTTGTTCAGTAAGAAAGAGTTTTTGTGGGAGTTTTACTGCAGTACTGTACAGTACAAGAGGTCCCCGACTTACGAACACCACGATATAAACGAAGTTAAACATTAAATTTACAGTATTTTATTTGCCTGATGACTTATTGCTTACTTTTATTTCCTGTATTTTGTCATTATTTCTTCTTTTCTCTTAAATTAAGTGATTTTATATGTATATAAGGACTTAGTCTATAATACACTGGGATTTTAAACATTGTTCTGTAAGTACGGTATGAACATAACACGTGTTCAGACTTGCCTACAAATCCAACTTAAGAATGTCCTCAGGAACGGAACCCTTTAAGTAACCCGGAGACCCCCTGTACATATCCTATAGTTTTAGCTTGGTGATAAAAGTTTTTGGGGAGGGTGGATATGTTTTAGCCGTTAAGGTTTTTCTTATTTTGTGTAAAGACGTCAAAGTGTGTGTAATAATCTGTGGTTTGTTCTTGTCTTGCTGCTGCTGTAGGTATATGGAGCAGATTATTTTGCCCACGTAAGTAATATGTTTTGTTCGTTTTTTTTTTCACCCTTGTTTGGCTTCGCTTTATTTTTTCATTCGGTGTTATTATTATTATTATTTTTTGGCTGTGTTTTGTTGCGTATCCTTAATCCTCGTTGTGTGGAGTTAGTGGAAGACTGTGTACTGTAGGGTGATAAGCCAACCAGCCAGCCAAGATTCATACCTAGTATAATCACCATCACCACCATCATCATTACCACCATCAATTGTTTCACAGTAATTTTCCACTTAAAGGCCACTAAAAATTTCACCGAACATGAACGTAAATAGATAGACGGGTAGAGATAGATAGATAGATAGATAAGAGAGAGATAAAAAGAGTTGGATAGATAGATAAGATAGAGAGAGAGACTTACTCAATATATCGACAGTACATAGTTTCTCCGACTACATCACACGACGAGGACAAAAGTACATTCTTATGGCATTCTTACTGTAGCCATTTAGGTATACCTGTATTTATTGTATTTTATGGTAAGCTGTAGAATGGTAGTACTGTATTGCATGGTTGAAACACTGCTGGGAATTCCTGTAGTGGCCTAAAAATGGGGCTGGTTTTGTAGAATTTTTTTTTTTTTGCTGTAGGGTTTGTCAGTGTGGGTAAATCTTCTGTAGCATGTGCTGTTGTAGTTGCTGTAGTTATTATTGTAGTTTGTTATTATTATTGTTGTTATTATTATTACTGAGGCTCTTGAACTGGCCTTCGATAATTTATTCTGAATTTGTTTTAAACTAACTTATACAGAATTATATAAGAACTAGCAATTACATAATGAGAGTAAATTATGAAGTGAATAACAGTAAATTCCATTGTGAATAACTGTACAATATCACGTCATACATTGTCAGCTTTTAGGAAGAGTTGGATGTATTTTCATGATTATTATTGAAGTTTCTATTATTTATTTTCTGGGGTCAGTTCAGTATTGGCAGTAATGTGTTGATATGATTTAATATTGATTATTTTGCTTCTATTATCTTCTTGTTCTTCTCCTTGTTGTTATTGTTTTCTTGTACTCCTCCTCCTACTTCTCCATCATCTCCCCTTCCTCCTTCTCCCTTTCCTCCTTCTCCTCCCCTCCCTCCATCCCCCTTTTCTCCTTGTTCATTGTTTATTTTTAATGTACCTCATCCTAATCCAGATACTCTCGCCCTCAGCATGAACATGATAAGCCCAGAGCACGGGGTCCAGACGTTCCTTCACATGCTGCAGATGATAGTGAGCTACTTCCTCATGTTGATATTCATGACTTATAACGTGTGGCTGTGTCTGGCCACCGTCCTGGGGGCTGGCGTCGGTTACTTCCTGTTCGGGTGGCGTAAATCCGTGGTGGTCGACATCACCGAACACTGTCATTAGCTTGTGTCTGTTAATCTATCATAAAAATTTAAGAAATAATTGAATTGTGTAATTTATCTTAATTCTTCTGGAGTTACATTGTATTTTCATCACATAAATATATGACAGGAGGTACTTATATATATATATATATTTTTTATAGCTCAGTATAAACACACAGCACTACTTAACTATTGGCTTCACTATATCAGGTGCTTTGATAGGGGTCACGTTATGGGTTCATAGTCATACAGTAGTGTTTTTGTGGTGGTTATGCCTACATGTGTGCGTGTTATCTTTATAAATGCATGTTATGACTTTCATACTTACATGTGTTCGGCATCACTGATTGGTTGATGTCCCACTAATCATCGACCATAACACAGTGGTTATGACACTCCTAAATAGCATAAATATCTTACATTTATCTCAAAACTGCAATATATAGTTATTATTTATATAGTTCGCTGGCTTTTTATTTAAGATTAATCAATTGCGTAATGATTAAAATCCTTAGAATTATCTGGCTGTAATTATTTCTCGAAGGTTGGTGTCGTGGAGGAGACGTCACTATCAGGTTACAAAAAGCACTACGATGCCAACTCTGACCCTCTGATGTGACCCCTTAGATTATGTACAGTAGTAACTTGTTTGTGGTTTGAAATGACAAGAATAACTAGTAGTGAGTGATATTGGCAGCCTTATTCATTCTTATTTCAAGCAACACATGTCAGTCTTATTTCTAGCAACACACATCATCTTTATGCAGTCTAGCAACATACTTGAGCCTTACAGATATTCATTCTAGCAACACTCTTGAGCCTTATCCAGTTTTACAATGAGTGGTTTTATATGTTATTCATTGACTTGTATAACTTGGTACTCTAGATAAGTGTACAAGGAGAATTGTCCTTTATACGCACAACTCTGACCTTCCTGTTACACCTTAGTGGGAAATGGCTTACAAGATTATAGAAGAGAAATAGATAGTTAAAGCTTTCCTGTGTTATACTGTTTATGGAGTAACTATATAAGCAGTGATGACAAATTCCCTGTCTTTTATCTTTTAACCCCTAACTCTGTGTGTAGATAATATGTTATATTTTTGTAAGAAATTTGATGTTAATTTTTATTCTTTTTTTGGCGGTGTACGTACAGGGTATTTATTTATTGATTAATTTATTTTTATTTTTTAATCCTGGTTCCATTTTAGTTTGTGAATGATAAAATATCGATAAGGTTTTCCTCCTTCTTCACCTTCTTCCCACCCTCCTCCTCCTTCACCTTCTCCTCCTTCACCTTCACCTTCTTCCCTACCCTCCTCCTACCCCTCCTCCTCCTTCACCTTCCTCTTCCCGTACCCCTCCTTCACCTTCCCCCTACCTCTCCTCCTCAACCCCCGTCGTGACTGGAGCATTTCTCTTCGCTGATTAAAATTGTCTGGTGTTGGCAAGATAGAATAACAAAAGTGGTGTCCCCTACTGAAGAAGCTAAGAGGGACAAGAGAACAGGACTGCAGGTGATGAGGAAATAGAGAGGGCGACATAACCATGGGTAAAGGTCCTTGCTATTGTCTTATTTGGTGGTGGTTTTGTTTTACTGTTCTTATCATCATGTATGTTTTGTGGCCATTTTTGTTTATACTTGTGTGCATTGGCCATAGTTGTCTGATGGTATAAAAATTTTTGAGACTTTAAGTTTTATGGCTGTGCTCTCTTCCCTCCCAGCCTTCTCTCCCCAGGTTATATTGTAGCCTCTTAAAAGAACTGATTTAGTCGGTAATTCTCCAGGAGGAACGAGTCATCAAGGACATAATTAGACAGCAACAGGGAGCAACATGTTTAAAAGGAACGGAATAGATATTATTGAGGCGTTGTGTTGCGTCGAGATGGTGTGTGTCATTGAGGTTTAGACTGCCAAGGTTTACTAAATAGGTCAGTTTAAGATAAGCAACTACCAGTACTTAGGAAAATTTATCATAATTAAAGATATCAATTACTTTTAGTTTTTTTTTTTATTGTTCTATTAAAATTATATAATACTCCATTGTGGTCATTTTAGTCATAGATTTTGTTGAATACAAGTCGTTGCTAATCATAAATATTGAATTAATTTTACTGCAATTTAAACTCTAAAACAATATTAACATTGTCTTGGAAGATGATGATAAATAAGACTTATAAAAAGAGTTGTGACGTGAGATCATTGGCTTTAATAACAGTATATAATCATCTGTCATTGACTAACTAAATCTTCATCGATATTCTGTCATTGGTATCAAGTGAATATTTCCAGCATTTCCGATATTGATACCAAAATATGTTGGTCATCTTATTCTGAACAGTTCAGTGTTCTGGTTTAATTATTCACTTATCATTCTGAACAGTCTGAATGTGCTGGTTTAATTATTCACTTATCATTCTGAACAGTCTGAATGTGCTGGTTTAATTATTCACTTATCATTCTGAACAGTCTGAATGTGCTGGTTTAATTATTCACTTATCATTCTGAACAGTCTGAATGTGCTGGTTTAATTATTCACTTATCATTCTGAACAGTCTGAATGTGCTGGTTTATATTGTGTTTCTCTCCATCATTCTCAATAGGTTTTAACAGGTTTATATTGTCTCTTATTGTGTATCCAATTTAAATATCCCATTGTATCAAAATCCTATCATGGGACCAATTGTTTCTCCAGTTTTGTGTTTATATTTTCAAGTCGTTTATAAGAATCTATTTATCATTAAACATAAACAACATCCATGTTTCTTTTTTGTGTAGAACTTTCCAAAATAATATAATGTATAAATTTATTCATGAATTTATTGTAATTATAGTGTGTATATATTAGTTTGTTGTGTTTTGTCTTCACTTTTTACAGATAAGGAATATGCCTCGATATGATTGTTAGGCCGAGATGAGGATTGAGGAGACACTGGATTATGTGCCTTTGACAAGTTTTAGTTAAGCTATGGATAGTATATACCCGATAGTCAGTCAGGTAGGTTTTTTTTTTTTTTAGACCAATGCCACAGTTGATAGAATTGGATGAAATTTGTTGGAAACGTTATTTACAACAGATTAAATGTATACGGTAGATTGAAACGAGAATGCACTTAACTTATTAGAACTTGATCTAACATAAAGTAACCTATTTAACTTACCAGAAAGACTTTTTAAGACACACCTTGTGATACTGAATGGATTATCATTTCATCCAATGCTATCAATTCCTTCTGGGCCTTATTTTGAATTGTTTCTTCTTCAGATCTTGTAATATGACGAACAATAATATCCCCAGCGGCCATGTGTTACAACTTCATAATGCGGTAAATATCAAGAGCTCAGTATAGGACCGAGGTAATTCGTGATCAACCACATCACGGTCTTGGCAATGTTCCCGAAAACCTCCGTAATTTAACGTCAATTCACGATAACAATTACCCTAGTGAACGAATATCGAGGAGTTAGAACAGCCTCGGGCAGTTACAGTAGAATATAATAGGGGTAAATAAGGAAATAAAATACACAAATTGCCGCTCTTGTCCAGGTATATTTATGCTTTTCCAAACACCTTTAATACAAACTCCTCACACAAGTCTTAGAGTTCCAATGTTTATCTGTTATCAAGTTACCTAAACCAACAGACTATACACACTATACACTTACATGCATTTTCACAGATATACACATGTACACTGCACTTAAACATGCACATACAAGCAAAATCACACATACATGTTCACGTATATGCACATGTAGGTATACTAATACATATAATTTTCATTGCAATTTTTAAGATAAATGACGTACTTTGTTTATTCAATTGGGATCCAAGTGTCCAGAAACTTGATTAGTTCTGCCTTTCAAGATTTTCTCTTGTTTTTCCAAGAATATTTGTCAAGTTCAAGTTACATTAGTTTAACATTTCTGCCTCAGCTAAATTACATTAGTTTAACATTTCTGCCTCAGCTAAATACATCTCCAACTCCATAAAGCAAAGCAAATACAATAAAAATGCAAACAGTAATAAAATGTCATAATGGAAATGTAACACAGAAAAACTGGTCAATTAAAGAACTGTGTAAAGCAAGTATAGAGTCATACACTAGACTACACTACACCCTATACTTGTGGGTGAGGGGCCGCCGTTAAGTACATGCACGTGGCGTCATCTGGTGGTGATATTTATGTTGAGTTGGGGGTCAAAAGTTTGCTCCTACCCCACAATGAAGCAGCGTCGACCCCTAATGAGATGAAACAGTCAGGTACGTCAGTTCTGAGACTAATACAAGCGTTTCGGTTTCACAACAGGGAGTGAACTTTTGTCCTTGATTGTACCACAGATCAAAATTCAACAAATTAGATATAATGGCTGGAAATAAACCCATTAACATGAAGACCCACAGAAAGTATAACAACCAGCCCGTATTTATACATGTAGCTACTAAAACAATATCTCATGTCGGGCCTTAAAATATAAACTTGATTTTTAATGCAGTAGCGAGCACAGTTTTTGTGTGGTCTATTAATGGAACATAGTATTATATAGTTTAGTTAAGATCCCTCAAGTTTATATTTTGAGGTTGATACAAAAAGTTAATGAATATGTGGATGAACAGAATCCCCTCATATAATATTCTATTGTAAGACCTTGTAAAAATAACCTCCGAGAATTCTCTCTCTCTCTCTCTTCCCTCTAAGTTAATATCACCTACTTGGACTTTTAGCATTTTCATTTATGTTATAATCCTACTATGCTGCCTTATTCACCAGCTTTGTACATCAAAAATCAATGTTTCTCTCTAAAATAAGCCATATACAGTACTGCTATCACATCACCGCAGCTAATCACACTTTCAACATCTATGCAATGGCTACCTCTAACCTTTACTTATGCCTGATCAAGACTAAACAATGTCCCATATGTAGTAAAGTTCTTCAATAAAACTTAAGTTCATAAATTAAAAAAGGTTTTATAAGAATCTCATTATTGTACAGTGTTGTCGGGCTAACCAGGTGGACTTACTGTACAGGTATTGGACACTAATTACTGTTTCTCCATTAATACTCTATAAATATTACCAACAGTTCGTCATCACTGTCCTGATAAACTTAGACACTTGAGAAAAAGAAAGATTTTCACATTAACTTACTTTTGGAACACAACTAACGGATATAATTGCTTTATTTTAATGTAACAGTTCCCTTAACATTCATTTGACTGTTAGGAATAATTAACAGGTATTTGGCCTTCAACAGTCACAACACAAAACAGTCACAGGTCATTTAAGAACAACAATGTCCTGGATTTGTTCTCCCAACCTCACTGTTATTACTCCAATTATGACTAGGATTGACATTTTAATTTTATATTTCTCTAATGATTACAAGAGTTATAAATTAAATACACCTTTCACCTTATGTAGGAAGGTCATCCTTAAATTAACTCACAACCTTGTAAAAATTATCCGAGGCGCACCACAACAGCCGCCAGACCTGAGTCACTCTTGTTACATGTCCCTTATGATGACTCTTCCTGCTCTCCTCACCACCCTACCTCTTCCCTACCACCACCCTGACTCCTCTCTACCACCACCCTGCCTCCTCTCTACCACCACCCTGCTCTCCTCTCTACCACCACCCTGCTTCTACCCTACAGGCCATCTCCTCCCCAACATAACTTAAAGAGGGTTAACCATATCAAATATAAACTTCATATCCCAGTCTTTGGATAGTGTCAAAAACTGGATCATCTAACCCGACCAAACCCCTCAGTAATACCTTACCTAAACTGATATAAAACTTGAGAGTGTACAAGATAATTTTTTTATTATTATTCAAACATATTAAATAATTTATTACTATGCTTCTGACATGCAAAAAAAAAAACATTGTCGGAGAACGTTTAATCATTGAGGAGGACACATCTATGTTCTCCACAATGAAAATATTTGATTCCCGTTTATTGCCCATCCTAAAATATCGTAATAGTGACCCTGTACATTTCCTCTCGTCATTTTAAGCACCATGAGTTTAGATGCATAAGGTATATAAACAATTAATCCTCCAGTGTATAAAAGTATGAATATGGAACTGTCTAAAATACCTGGAGAGTCTGTCTGTATGGCCATAAGTCTGGATAGTCTATGTACGTCCATAAATCTGTAGCAACATGATAATATACAGGTATGTGACAAAATAACTGACAATGTTGAAAATGTTCACTATCACCACAATATTATATGTTTAAAAATAACCACAAACTGACACCGGTAAAAAAAATAAATATATATATAAAAAAAAAATAGAGGATTACGTAGATAAAAAAAAATAGTAATGAGACAATTAACCAATCAACTACGCCTTTGGGATCCTTAGCAATTATCACAGTCATGGGGTAAGATGCACACTCGGTAAAACTCCTCGAACACCTGGACATAATGGATGACTGAGAAAGAGCAGAAGTGAGCTTGTCATCACGGAATGGTTTCAGATTCTTCATTCATTTATCAGACTCCGTAGTTCTTGCAGCATTCGAGTTTTTGATCAGTGTAATTTATATCCACCCATGGTTAAAATTTCACTACCTTACAAATCTGAAACGGTATCGACCCTAAATGTGGTAAAACAGTTCACCCGCTCCAGATGACAGTCAGGGTTTTGTGTGTGTTTGGAGACTCATTCCTCTCCGACTTGAGTTTCACCACAGGGAGCCAACTTTTGCCCACGATTGTATATTTGAGACATGAGAAGAAATATAGCACAAAAGTCAAAAAGAAGTCGCAAAAAACAATCCAATTTTAGACATATCCCGAGCCATTGTCGCTGGTTTAGTTTTCATTCGCCCGGAGCGCCTCATTTATCAAGGCAAGGTTCGGAAAGTTGGCTGGGTAGAGGAAGAAAACTCGTCACGTTAATGCACCGACAAGACCCACCCGACGACCAAACTTCTCCGAGGAATGATGACATTACTAGGAACGTCGAAAGAAATGGGTGGAGCTTAGGTGATAGGTCAGCATCACTGAAGATGCCTTACAAATTCACAGATATAAAGCCAAGACTTAAGGTCATTGTGGATCTATTACCAGTAACCCATAAAGATATTTCAATGGATATAACAAACTAATGGGGATTCTTATACAGCTGCTCCCCCACTCATGACGGGGTTAGGGACCGACATCCAGGTCGTAAGTCGGAAATGCTTAAATAACACATATAAAATCGAAAATGGGTGTCTCTTTTTCTTCTCAGCACCACAAAACACTCACTTTTATGCTTCCCAGCCATTTTAAAGTGAGTTACAGATGAAAATTTTGTCTGTGTACTGACTGTGGGACTCGAAAATCAGTAATTTGACCAAATTTTGGTATGACTGAGGGCAATAAGTATGAGGTCGTAAGTCGGGGAGGAGCCATACGTTTCCAGTCTAGTGAGCCATTTCCTGCTATGTTCAGGATGGCTCTTATGATAATATGCCTCCGTGACAGGATGGTTGAAATGTTAACATGAACTAATAATTTCCTCATAATCCTTGACTCGTAAAAAAGAGTTAACTTATAATTCTTAACCCGTAAAAAAGGATTCCCCACTTACTCCCATTATATCGAGAGTCCATTAGATATAAAACCTCCATCTAATGAATTATAGATATAAAACTGTTATATGGAAATCTCACTAAATAACAAATATCCCCTTCAAGTTCTCTATAAATCATCAAAGACTAATACAGTATAAGTATCTAGAAAGAAATCTGGATATGTTCATTTAAAAACAAATCATATCAGTAATAAATATATAATTTAATCTCTTCATATTCACTAATAATGTTTAAGACAAAAAAATTAAACTGAAATTAAGAAAATATAATCGTTCACCTCAAAATTTTCACTACCCTAAAATTTTCACTACCCTAAGATTTTCACTACCCTAAGATTTTCACCACCCTATGATTTTCTTCCTTTCTTTTGAACTTGTAAATAATGTTTGGCAAAGTGTTCTTCACATCAGCACCACTAGAGCAATTATTCCTCCTGCCACAAAGGTGAATGGCAGCCAAGTCTTCAGAAATCCTACAAAACTGTAAAACCAAAACGATATGTAAAAATACAATACAGGATTTTTTTTTTAATAATAATAATAATAATAATAATAATAACAGGAATCTATCTTATCACTTGACTAAATTAACCAGTGATACAATTATTACTGAGAAATATACAAATTACTCTCTTAATAAATTTAGTTCTCATACAAATTACACTGAGAAACATACACATTTATACACTAGTAGTATTTTCATATGGACATCCTGTATTAGAATACCTATTGTATTATACACTAGTACTGTACTTTAATGCCAATACAATAGCCGTAAAATAACTTACTTGATGTATTTACCATGCACCAACATCAACAGACACAGCTTCACCATGTTCCAGTTAGTTGACCCGTCGTAGTGCATCAGATTCAGGGCCATGGCAACGTGTGAATGGCAATTGTCACAGAACAAATTATGCTGAAATGGAAAAGTCGGTACAGTATTAGTATGTATGCTGTATCAGTATTAGTAAGTATGCAGTATTAGTATGTATAAAATATCAGTATAAGAACAAGTATTCCCCAATTTACGATGGGGTGACGTTCCTGGGAAAACCCATAGTAGGTCAGCATATGTAAATCAAGAAGATTATAACATATAGTTCAATGGGGTAAGTTCCCAGCCAATGAGACACCCTGTACAGTATGAACCACCCTGTACAATATGCCATGAGACCTATGAACCACCCTGTACAATATGCCATGAGACCTATGAACCACCCTGTACAATATGCCATGAGACCTATGAACCACCCTGTACAATAAGCCATCTGACATTATGAACCACCCTGCACATTAAAGTCAACAATCTCACCATTCTACCGATATTCTTCTGGGCGAGTGATATACTGCGGTCAAAAGATGTCGGTCCGCCCTGAGCTCTGTAAGGGTCTAGTGCCCAGTACTTGGTCGGCCAGCCAAAAGCCATGTTATCCTCGGAAACAAAAATCGGACCGGCAAAGTCACATTACAACCCGGTATATGCCACACCCATGTGACCGATGAAGGGGATAAACCAGCTGAAATAAAACGTAAAAATTAATGATGGTGCTGGAAAATGATGAGAATAATGATGATGTGTGTGAAACAATATTAACTAATTTACCGTACATTTCTCTATAATATCAATTCTAAAATAAAAGTAAAATTAGTGATAGACGAGAATTAATATTTATGCAATAACTATAAAAAATAAATTATATTTAAAACGTAAAATCGAAGTAAAATGTAAAACTTGTTATATTTATCAACAAACTTTCATCGTTGCTTCTGTACAGTACATAATATGTTATTATTGAATAGTTAATATAGTAAGGCTGATGAAATTATTTTCCTGACCTAGACAGTTATCCTTGATCTAACTGCCTTACTGATCACCAATGTTGTATACCTACACTGTATCGGTACACTGTATACCTACAGTCTCGGTACACTGTATACCTGCACTGTCTTGGTACACTGTATACCTGCACTGTCTCGTTAGACTGTATACCTACACTGTCTCGGTACACTGTATACCTACAGTCTCGGTACACTGTACTGTATACCTACACAGTCTCGGTACACTGTAAACCCACTGCCTATACGTGAACAAACCAAACCAATCATAAACTTATATTATAGTTTTACTGAATTATTATTATTATTTTGAATTGCTCTACTGGTTATCAGCTAAACTGTAACAGGCTAGCAAAGATAAACAAGGAAAAGAATAAAAACAAATAAACGGCAACGTACGACAGTAAAGGCAGCGGCGTCGAACTATACAACAAGGGTAGCGGTGTCTTGCGTGATCCATCTTCCCAATGATGACGGGACTGTCTGGCGGACTATCAGCCTCGGACATTAGACCAACAACACTTAGGGGAAGGAGGAAACCTTGAGGCCACTGGAAACAAAATACCTGTACTCTAAGATTAACATTCCACATCACCTGATGATTAACCTCCCTAACACTAACCTAACTAACACAAACTAAACCTATCTAACCTAACACCAACCAAACCTAATCTAACCTAACTTAACCAAACTTATCTAACCTAACGCCAAGCCTTGTATAAAGGTTCTTTATTAAGACTTCTGACCTACCAGCAGATTGGTCATAAGGTAAATAAGGTCAAATATATCATTGGTAAATTTAACAACCATTATATATCATAAACAGATATATTCAGTTAATGAATGAATATATATATATAGAGCATTAAGTGATAAATAAAAGTATAAATAAAGCATAAGTAACCAAAATATAAAGTATGGTTGTTATTGTCGTTATACTTATCACCTCACAGTTCAATACTAGATTAAATTAAGCCTATAGCTTCATTACATTAAAATCACACATATAATATTACCTATAGCTTCATCCACAGGTGTATTAGAGACGAATTAGTATAATATAAAAGTCGCTACTTCCATCTGAGCTCAGTTAGCCGTCAGTTATACTTCACTACAAAACATACTTACAGAAAATGGTAGTAGTGGGATAACTTTAAACAATATAAGTAGATGTCAAATAGCAGAAAATGTGAGAATAGTTAGTATATAATGATAAAGACGGTCAAATTATCCTAAATTCATTCTCCCTAGAGCCAGCACGAGGTGATTTCTTCAGTTATTTATATTTACATACAAATGTTTGCTGATGCTGCCAAGTTTTTCATGGAAATTAAGATCCAAATAGACTGTGAAGAGCTACAAAAATATCAAAAGTGATGGGAGAAATGGTTGCTAAGATTCAGTGTCAGGTAGTATCACGTGTCCTTGCGGGATGAAGAAGCTGCATTAATAGAGAGACTGTGGAAAGGGCCTGGGTGAAATGTTGCGGTACCTCAGTTATCCAGAGATTAGAGCCTGCAACTGCCTACAGACGGGCAAGAGACGACCTAATTGAAGTTTATAAACATCTAAACATGGACTGGCTTTATTGCACACTTGTTTTAAGTACTGGGCGTGGACTGGCTCTGCTACACACTGTTGGTAACTTGGTAAGTACTGAGTAGTGCCCCTTGAGATGCTTATACACGTCAGTTAAGTCCCCCCCTTGCCCGTCTGTAGTATAAGCTAGGCAAGTTCAGGCGCTCCAATCTCTCAGGGTAGTTGAGGTGCCGAAGTGCAGGCACCAGTTTGGTGGCCCTCCTGGACATTTTCAACCAACTGACAGTCCCTAGCATATCTCGGGGACCAGATGGGGTGACAGTACTCCAGATGGGGAAGCACTTCACCCTTGAAGCGTTACGAGGGACGGACCGTCCAGATATCTAAACGTCCTTCTTATAAGACCCAATAATTTATTTGCCTGATTACCTTCTTCTCGCAATGGGCCGAGAACTTAGCTCATTGTCAACATACACACCTAGGGCCTTCTCATTCAGTCTCAAATAGTGCAGTTTCTTCGTCCCGTTGAGATATATGATGGGCCTCCTTACTGTTGGTACGCCCAGGTGCATCCTCTTACACTTCGTGACATTGAATCTCAGCAGCCACTTCTTCGACCATTCTTGGAGCCCACAGAGGTCCTTCTGCAGCCCTTCACAGTCCGCTTGGTTCTTGATTTCCCGAAATAACTTGGCGTCATCGGCAAACATTTGTATGGAGGAGTGTACAGCGTCAGGCATGTCATTTATGAAACAAACAAACAACAGCGAGCCCAATACACTGCCCTGTGACAGGTACGGATGATGATTTTCAGCCTTTCGTGGGGTACACTGTCGAGTGTGATACTATC